CCCGGCCGAGCTAAGCGACTGGCACTTTGGAGTACAACGCGACCTTGATGCCAAACAGGCCGTATACTCTGAAGGCCAATCCCGCCCAGCACCAGCTGCGGCCGCCTCGTGTGCGGAATTGACTCCGCCGGTAGTGACAGCGTCCTTCGATGAGGTGATCGATGCCATTCCGTACAGGACCGAGGCAAGCCGAACCTTCTCGGCAGCCAAGGCAGCCCGCACAGCCGAGCCGGCTACGGAACCAGGCAGCTCATCTACAGCCCCGCCTAGCGGTGGCCGAAGGTCGACTGTCAACCCGAATGACCTTGTCGGGTACAAGATTGAAGACGACGTCTACCTCAACGAGATGCTTGGCGTGGATGACAACCAGTACGCCAGGCTCGCCGGTGACAATCCGGAGCACGAAAAAGTGATCACCATTAAGCAGCCCGACATCCCGATGGATTATATCCTGAAGCCACCGCGCTTTGTCGACAAGGTGAGCAAATGGATCATTGGGGTGGTGAGAGGCTCGATCCTTGAGTGCAGAAGCCGAATGGGGAAGTGGATCCGGCTGGAGGAACTCCTGTTCCTCCTCAAACGCAAGCACAACGTTGTCATCGGCCACCGCATGTTCATTGCCGTTGTAGCCTACGACAACAAGTGCAGGTACTTGCTGGCCGGCCACTCTGAGGACCCCAGGAACGAGTTTGTGGACGGTGGAGTGTGGCCGATCTGGGTGTCCGCAAGCCATGGCCACAGCGAGCGCATCCGCGGCGAGATGGATGACGCATCTATCGCTACGAAGTGGCTCGACCCCAGGCGAAGGGGGATCGACAGGATTCCAGCCGCCTACAAAGGCAGGCCATTCCTCTGTCGAGGCGATGCGGACTTCCCCAACAGGCTCTACCACCGCACGACCCACGATGCGGCATTTAGCATCCTTGAGGACGGGTTGGTTCCGGGTTTTCGCCGCTCCGGAAAGTACCACTGCTACTTTGCGAAAGCCACTTTGGCTGAGCTTGGTAACAAAGCAGGGGTACGAGCCAACCTACATGTGGAATTGGTCTTCGACACCATCGAAGTGCTCAAGCACGCGTACCTGTTCGAAACAGAGTCCGAAGGTGTCTTGTGCTCCGAGCGCGTCCCTGGGGAGTGTGTCCTCTATGTCAGGGATGCTGAGAGCAACGAGACTTTGTGGACGCGGCCGTCTCCTGGAGACGAAGACGTTGAAGTCATTGTGGAAATCGCAGGAGAAACCACAATGGAAGACGACGACGAGCCAGCCGACCTTTATAGCTTCCCAGAGCCAGCGGAGCCAGAGGAAGAGGCCGCGATCCTGTCGGAAGTCGTGCATGAGCCGGAGGCCGAAGCCGCCACCATGGATGCCGACGATCCAGCCCCACTTAGTGGAGGCCAAGGATTCGATGAGGAAGTTCCAGACACTACTGATGCCCCGATGCCCGCCATCCTGGACGCAACGGCCGCTGACGTTCTCCCTGAAGAGTCGGCTGTGCTTGAGGATGATGGCGCTGGCATTGGAGGTATGGCTCCCCCAGAGCCTATGACTCCTCCTCCCGCGGAACCCATGACCCCTCCGGAAACCAAGGAGGAATCCGCACAGGAGGAAGCGCCTGAGCCTGCACCTGACACAGCAGATGCACCTATGGCAATCGCCGACGTCAAGACGGAGGCGGCAGAGGAGGTGGAAGAAGCAGCGACACCGGCAGCTGCGCCGATCAAGCGGACAG